TAAATCCACAAAAATATTCAAATTAGAACAATTACCTCAATTTCAGATTGGATTAAAATGAAATTACCCTGCCTTAAGGTGTGTTATAGAACAAGGTAATACAATATCATTCTCAAATTTTGAATATATTACTGGATTTTATTTCTCTAAATCTTTCAGAATGAGACAAATCAAATAGCTGATATACATACATACATATATATATGTGTGTGTGTGTGTGTGTGTGTGTGTGCATAGATTCAGTTGTAAATCAAACACAATCACATATTTAGAGAAATAGATAAAAATAGAAAATAATTCTATGAGCCTGTACTACACAAAAAGAAGCAAAGTGAAAACATCTATGTTAGAAAATATAATAATTAAAAATAATACTTTGAATAACTGGCTACTACAATGTATTTTTCATAGTTGAGAAAGAATGTTAAAATTAAAATATTAATATTTCTTATAAATAAAAATAATATAAGAAATTATAATAATTATCAATGCTAAAAGTGAATGAATTGCCTGAGTGACATATTAGGCCATAAATAGATTTGAGATGGATGAACAGAGAGTTAAAGGACAACAGAACTAGTCAGAGAAAGCCTCAAACTGTGGAACAAATGTGACAAAATTTTGGTAAACCCAGCAAGAATTTCGGGAAACAGAATTTATCCATCCTAGCAGTATTAATGGGGGCAAAGATACCCAGGCTTCAAAAATATCCGGTTCTTGATTGTAAGATGCTCCCAAAAAAGCATAGTTTCAACACAAAATTGAAATATATGCTAAGGACAGTAAACTTAAAAAAACTAACTCTGGGGGTAAATAACAAATCATTTTTTGTAAAGAGACCCACAGTACATCTCCAGATCACCAACAAGAATTTTTTTAAAAAATCAGTACACATTTAAAATGTAACAGAAATATCTTCTTTGTAAACAAGAAGGCTCACAGATATTATTTATAATGAAACTGTTGGAGCTTATGTTTGCTATTTATGTCCTTAATTTTTTCTATTGTCAAAACAGAGATATATTGGCTTTTAAAGAAACCAAAAGTTAACCTCCTACCCTACTTTATAGTAACGGAAACAAGTAGAAATTAAGTTTTCTGTAATCTCAGTTGTCAGATCTCACAAGTTAAAGATAAGCTCCTGCATTTAACATTCACTCCAGCAAATCGAAGACAGATAATAAGTACTATCCCTCCAAGGGCTTTATGTAATTCAGAGATTGAGGAATTGATCTCCAGTAAAGCAATAACAATGCGGCTTGTGCTGTAATGAGAGAGCCGTGACTGCAGGAAGGAGAACGGGGCGTTTGAGATGAATTTCCATAAAATCATTGTGAGTCACAGAACATCTGTGCTGGTGAGTAGATTATTGATTTAAAGTAGTCACTAGATCTTGAGTTAATGTGGCTTACACATATCACCATAAGTGATGACACACTGACATTTTTAAATGAATATCACACACACGACCATTTTCAGTGACAGGAATGTGGGACAGAGAAACAGCTTGACGTGGATCTGGAACCGCTGCTCGGGAATATACTGTCATCTACATCTCCTGCAACCTTTGTTAGCTACTCTAAAAACTTTGTTTATTCCAGTGTATTTTATTTAGTTTCATTGGGTAAACTGTGAAATAAATTCTTTTCACATAGTCATGGCTGTATAATAAAATAATCTAAAATTAGATTGTCTGAAGTCTTCAGTGACTTATTGTTACTGTTTATGTGAGGTAAAATTTCACATTGCAATCTGTACATTCAGCCAAGCTATTTTACTTAGTTAAAATTATTTAAGGACTGTACCTTGACATTTTTTTAAATTCTTACTTTTAGCCTTTTTACAGCGCTGCAGAGGGAACCCGAGTCCCTGCAAAGCAGCTGGAACACCGCTGAGCACGTCCCCGTCCTCACAGCTGTTAGAAACCATCGCTCCTGGAGCTTAGGCCAACCGCTTTCCCAGCCCACTAAAAACTCTTAGGTTCTCAGCTGCATCAACTTACTTTCATTCCTCCTTTTCAGAAACAAGCATGATAAATCATGAATCCAAATTCTCCTGCTAGCAATATGTCAAGGAAATTTAAAATTATAACAACCCAAAATACCAATATTCTCTTATACTGTCTCCTTTCTGGGAACTACAAATTCTTTAGACGCCTAGGCTGACTCTCCACTTGTCTTAGGTGATCGCATACAAATAACTGGCAGCAGCATAAAATAGGTCTCCAGGCATCCAGATTTCGGTATCAATTTCCTCTCCACATTCTATGTAGACCACACTGTACATTCTTGGACTAGTAAATTATCACAACTTTTTGCCTGATGATGTTAAAAGGAAAAAAAAAAAAAAAAAAGATGAGAGAATTCTCAACTAAAATTACTTGCCTCCAGATGGAGGGAAAGTACGTATTCCTATTTTTGAGAACTGTGTCGTAACCAAAAAGGCTTAAAAACTTAGTCTTTCTGCAGGACCAGACAGAGGAATTAGTTTATAAATTTTGCTTTTGGTTTCTCTTTGATAAACTGTATCCTGACATTAGTTTTTAAAAAGTATATGTTACATTCAAAATTCAGTACTATTTAGCCTACTTTCTCTGTTGGCATACTTTCAAGTTCAACAAATGCCTATTGCTTTTGTAGTATAGAAATATATCATTTACTCTAATACAAACAGCTGTTTTTTGAGTTATGCAATACAGCTGTTAACCAACTACATAAAAGATAGACTATTATATTAGTGACTGATATAAACAAGTTCTCCAAATTCACAAGAACATTGTATAGTAAGGATGGAATTAAAATAGATTTTTTGACTCTAAATTAAAGGCTCTAAATGTTGTATGCTATGAATAGTTACTTTTAACATGCATTTTAATATTTTCTTTGCTCACAATAATAGAATCTCAATCTACACAATGACATGCTTTGTTTTCTTCTCCAATTTATATAACTGCATTTACATTCCCATGTCTGCAGTGTCAAGCCTAAACTGGCTCACCAGCTTGCCCTGACTTTAAATATCCTATGTACCTCAACCCTAGCAAATCTCGAACCCTCCAAAATTTGCTTTGACATTTTCTCAAAAAGCATGGTCTTTACCCTTCCTTAAATCATGGAAGCCCCGAAACAGGTATGTTTTGGCATTTTGTATAGACAAAGTGGACTACTACATTCTAAAATGCAGTCAAACTCACTCAGGGTGACACTCGAGACAAATTTTATAACACAGTTTCACCAAGGTACAAGCTCAGAACTGAAGACGCCTTCTGACTACAAGCATTCACCTGAGCTCTACAGAAAGTGGTGTCTAAAGAGTTTGTCTTCCATACTGGGGTACAGCAGCTCAAAAAAACATTTGGTGAGGGTCATAACATCAGAGTGTACTGATTAGACTCAGATTATTCATTTAGATTAATGGCACGCATTTTTCTGGTTACTTGTGGTTTTATACCTGGGATCACAGTAGAGCCTTAAATCTCTCGATTCACAGAATGAACTGTGTAATTTGCCGTGAAATTTTATTTTTGTTATGCTTTAAGGTATTATCTTGTGTTTACCCTCAGTCCTATCATTCCAAGTAAGTCTCAGCTGTTGTCACACAACTTGCTATAATTACTTCTTAGCTGGTCATTTAAAATTGTTGATTTTCCATTCTATAGGCTTCCTTTGATCTTATTTCATTTTTCCTCAGTGCCAAAAACAACTTATAACCTTGAAAGCTTGAAATCTAAGAAATTTGATGTGTAGGCTTGTAAATAAGGCCAAGGTTAATAGCTCACTGCTTCTTAATGAAACATGGCAAAGGGAATTTAGGAAGAAATCTGTGGCAAAAGCTTCCTACCCTAAGCATTCATGTACTTGCCTTCTCTCCACACATGCGCACACACAAATACACACACACACACACACACACACACACACACACACACACACACACCTGGGCTTGGCTTAGACAAGCTTTTCCTGAGAATAATTTGCTGTCACAAACATAACAGAGCAAAAAAAAAAAAAAAAAAAAAAAAAAAAAAAATCCTACCTTTTCAACTGTGGTGAACCTCTGAATCAACTGTGATAATTTGCCTTTGCACGTGTTAATAAGAAATGTGTAATTATTGACCATATTGTTGAAGTTACCAATGTTTGGATCTTCCGTTTTTTGCAACGGAAAGTGCTGTGACTGGTGGATCTTTAGGACTACTATATTCCTTCTCTCTTTTCCATTTCAGCAAGTTAGTGTTGAGACATGAATGGTCTTTTCATTTTGTTGCTCTTGCTGCTACCTTTTCGAGTATGCCAGACCATCCACCTATCAGGCACCCAGAACACTTTCCAAGGTTTAGTTTAAATAGAAAGCATCAGCAAGTTGCCCCTTCTTGCCCTAATATTATGCTTTTTCTGTCTGTCTCTGTCTTGGTTTCTGTCTCTGTCTCTGTCTCTGTCTCTGTCTCTCTGTCTGTCTCTGTGTCTGTCTCTTCTCTTTCTCTCTCTCTCTCTCTCTGTTTCTTATCTCTTTTGTATCTGTATTTCACGCACTGAGAATTTTGAAACTTCATCAATGTAGGTGTAAAATAGTCTTAGGATGCCACTGAATGGAGTTTGCAAAGTCATGCTACTACTTAGAAATTTGTTATTTTAAGAGATGTATGTAATCTCATTCCTATTATTCATTGTTTAATGAAATTATCATTTTAATTGATGTGAAAATTAAACAAAATTTCATAAAATAATAGGCCAAAGTAGAATTTTTCTCTTGCTAAATTATTTTTAAATTTTTAAATTCCAACTATCTCCTCCAAATTGTGCAGTTTTAAGGAAATTACCACTTCAATTTCCATAAATGTAAATTGAGTATATCCTTTATATAAGAGGTTTTTCTAAGAGGTAAGTGTTTTAAGGCATGTAAAAGTCTTAGTTTGAATAGTGCTTGACACACAGGCCACACTGTGACAGTTTCATGGTTTATACAAGCAGAATAACCTGGGGACGGCAGCACATACTTACCTTCTCAGCACTCTGGGAGTCTGCAGTGTGTCAGAAGTTCAACCCTCGCCTGGGAAACTAGCGATGTAGCAAGACCCTATATCAAAATAGAAAATTTTTAAAAAATTCAATTGAATACGTAGCTCAGCAGATAGGCCCTAAGTTCAATTCCAAATACATATATTCATATATTTATGGTTTCACATTCAGTATATTTTTGATTAATGATAATTATTATTGTTTTCTCCTTACCAAAGTTCTGTACATTTTGTTAATCTTTTCATTTGTTCACTTACTTTGAAAGTATGTCTTACTTTACCATAAATAATTTGATTTTAGAACTATTATGCAAGTTGTTCTACTATATAGATTTTTGTGATATTCCCAAACAGAGACTTCAGCATATATTGTAAAATAATACATACTCCTCACTGTCTAACAGAGTGCAATATAATTTTGAGAATAAATATTTAATGTTCATTGCCCTTAAGAGTAAGAAAAATTAAATCAGTCTTTGAGATGCTTATAAAAATAAGTTTAATCAAATATTCCATTGATAGAATAAAAAACATAGCAATGTATATATAAAATCTGTTTTCAAATAGAAGAGTATTTTAAACTAAATGTTTTTATTTTAGTCACGTATGGCATAACCAGTGGTTCTAGACATGACCGCTATTGAAAAATTATCTTTTTATACTCTTAGTTGTTCAGATTGGATAATGGCAAACCACAGAAGACAACATGGAGAAACACTCAGTTCATGTGGGTTAAAGGATGGGGAAAAATATTTTCAAAAGTCATTAGTTTCTGCTAGAAGGAATAGATAGGACACTGCGACCCATGTTGAAACTGCTACTTTGACTTCTTTCCACAGATTCTGGAACACACTAGCAATGTGTCCAGTGCAAGGCCCAAGTGTAACTAGGACTAGGAAAGACTGGCTTGGAATGTGAGAGCTCTATAAGGCAGGCAACTGAGGTTATGTGTTCTTGACTGGTTTATTTCCATATCAAAGGCATACTCACGGACAAGTTCATTGCTCACTTTAGATAACCTTAGAACAGAGTCTGCCTACAGAACCAGGAATACAATGTATATTCTAGGAAATGAACTTATTTTCAGGAGGCAGATCAAGATAGTTGAAAAAAAAGCATGCAGGTGTATAACACACTGTTGGCTGAGGATAAAATGAACCTGTCATTGACCTATGACTGGGTTAAGCTTTTGTTTTTGGTTGTCTAGAATCATGGTACTAACCCTTTCAATCTAGGTCTGAAAAATATTCATTTGTGATTAATAAAATGATATTTACAGTCTAAAACCTGTATTTCACACCAACTTGCTTATGCAGTTTAGTAAATGTTGTATACAAAATAATACATGCATTCCAATTGTGGCTAAATTACAAGAGAGATATAGAAGAATCTGCTGAATTTGTGCCCCACTCACCTGAGACCTCGGGGTCTCATGTTCATATTGGGATTTACAACATGAAGAGAGTGTGCCTGAGCAAGTGCTCTGAGATTTGTGTGTAGAATACGCCAGATTCTCTGATATTTGCTTCTGCTTTCCCTGCTGCACCAACTGTCTTCCTAAAAGCCTAGTGTGAGTGTACTGTGGAGTCTCTTTCCTGAGTCCTGTCACTAAGTGTGGCACCTTAAGTAGGATAATATTATTTCTGGGGTTTTTCTGCATTGGAAAAGACTACAATACCAACAATTTAATGTATGTTTTTAAATCACAGACTTTTTTAGTCCATATTATTTTTCAAGAATATTGGGTCTCATTACAACATTTTCATACAAAAAGAGCAATATATAACCCACTTGGATCATACTTTTTCAATCCTAATATTTTAATATATTTATTTTTAATATTTTGCTATAGTGTGTTTTGAACCCAATGTGGATTCAACCAAGTATCACTACCACTGAGCTACAACCCCATCCACCCAAGCCTTTAAAATTTTTTTCTCTTCTTTCTTTCTTTCTTTCTTTCTTTCTTTCTTTCTTTCTTTCATCAGAGTTTTGCAAGGGGAACAAGAAAATACTGTACACATAAATATCGTATTATTTGTAATGGCCACCCAAGGCATCAAATACAAAGAAAGTGCAGGAAATCTGTCACACACTAAAGACCTAGAGAATTCCGCTGAGGGTCTGGATCCCATGGCAATATCCTGCATGAGTTCCACTGAAGACCTAGAATCCATGACAGTATCTTCCATGAGTCCACCTGGAAACCTGAAGCTCATGACCATGACTCATGCAAGTCTGTTTTACAGATGTGAACTGGGAAGGCCTAAAGGTCAGTGATAGAAGCCAGAAAGTGAAGGATCTGTACCAGGAGGTTGAACGTTCTCCACTGGAGCCAAGAAGCAACACTCAAACTAAAGAGCAGGAATCTCCCAAAAAGTACCACCACCATTCTCAGGGACAATGAGGTCTTGAGCTGCTCCAATGATGAGAACAGCCAAGTACATATCAGGAAGCCGGCATGACAAGTTTCTCTTGGAGACTGAACAGCACACATCTTCCTCTCTAGAGCCACAAAGTGATGCTCAAGGTAAGGACTAGAGCTACTCCAAGGTGAACCGCAGCTATCCTCAGCCATAGGGTCCAGAGCTCCTTGAATGGTATCATCGGAGTTCTTAACTGGGAAGTCAGTAGGACAAGCTTCTACAGGAGAACCAACAGCTCCAAAAGAACCTAGTGTCCAAGTAACAACATTCAGGGGAACCCACAATGCTATGCTGGCAATTTCCTCAGGTAGGCCACCCTACACTCAGCACCACGCTGACTCAGTTCAGCTGGTGTTTAAATTGACCACTAGTTTTAATCCACATCTTACTTTTCTTTACTTTTCTTTTCTTTTCTTTTCTTTTCTTTTTTCTTTTCTTTCTTTCTTTCTTTCTTTCTTTCTTTCTTTTTTCTTTCTTTCTTTCTTCTTTCTTTCTTTCTTTCTTTCTTTCTTTCTTTCTTTCTTTCTTACCTTGTTTCTTTCTTCAGTTAAGGCAGGGTCTTAAATTTGTTCTGTATAATCTTGAATTGAAGGTCTTTCTCCTTCAATCATCTAAGCAGCTGGGATTGAAGGCATGTACCATTGTAATTACTCCCTCCTGTTGTTTGTTTAAAAAGTAAAAAAAATAACTTTGAATATTTTTAACATTAAAATTATAATTCTCTAAGAAAATATAAATACACTAATTTAAACACTGCAACATTTCACAGTATATACCTGTATCTACATATCATTAGTATTACTCACAATGTATGTATGTATGTATGCATGCATATGTATGTATGTATGTATGTATGTATGCATATGTATGTAAATATATATATATATATATTAATCAGTGAAGAAAAAAATGAATTAATGCAAGTGTTAATGCTGCAAATGCAAAATTTTCCAGGCCAGGGATATAGCTCAGTGGCACTGCACCTGCCTGGCAGCACAAGGTTGTAAATTCAATTCCCAGTACAAAATAAATAAATAGTATGTCAAAGTAAAATTTTCCAAATGTGTTTGGCCAGACATAATAAAATCAATAGTGAAATAGTGTATTTATTGCAATTTAATTATAATTTTCTATAATAAGTTTTAAGGTATATAGCATTTAATTTTGTTTAATAGAGCTTCATAGTGAATGAATGCATTAAAATTGGAGAAGTTAAAGCATTTAATGTACTTTATAATGACTTTTCTTAAAGATAACTTTTGCAAGATATCCTAAAATATATTTACTAGCATTAGAGTTAATGATTAAAAAGCTATTAGGAGAATTAAATCAGAAAACTTTTTTTCTTACGGAGCTGATTTTTTCCCGTGTGGTCGTTATGTCACAGTACTAGTAGAAAACAATACTGCATGTTTCATTTTCTAAAATTCATTGCACAGAGTTATAGAGACAGTTCCTTTTAGTTTCCTTTTGCATGTGTCTGAACAGAATGCTTAACAAACCTTGGTAATACTGGTAATAATCACAGTTTTACACAGCACAAAACACTTTCCCTTAGTCTTTATATCAACGTTTCCCATGCAAAAGATTATAGAAACTATTAATTGTATTCTCATATAATGCATGATGACATTTAAACTTTTATTGTTTTCAAAATAGGTGGGAATTATCCTTGAATGTATGTGTAGAAATAGATTCTTCCTATCATATATTGAAAATATTATGTTGGATTAAATCATATGCTATTCATATTTCTATATGTAGCACTTAACGCCAGTGTATAAATATACATTTGATAAATGGTAACTTTAATTGAACTCAATTATCATTTATATCAGTAAATATCCTTTGCCTGCTTTCAAACGCACATGAGCAGGTAAAATTAAAATAGAAAATAAATCCTCAAAGGCAGTGAATATGAGCTAGTAGTTAATTTTGTACCACAAACAGAGAAGATACTTTAAAGAACATAAAATACAGGAAAGACAATCTGACCCTGTAGAGACTGGTGGCATTTTATGGCAAGAGAAAAATTTATATTTTACATCTTGATTGGACTTGGTCTTAATCACTAGAGACTAAAATAAGTGAAAATAAATTCATATGACTCCAATGCCTCAGTATTTTTCAGTTCAGGGATCAGTGGAGAATGAAAACCCAAGAACACAGGACCAAATATTTTCAATGTATATTTTCTGGAACTTACCTGGTTTCTACCTTTATCACCTAGCACAGGGACAGATTCCAAGGTCAGAAAACAGATGCTTAGGGTCGGGGTAGGTCGCCTAGTCTCTGTCACTTGTGATCATGTGGAGAAATCCTTCCTTTGAGGATTGTGATATTTATGGACTATATCACAATGCTGGGAGCTGGCAGCACAACATCTCTATAAACACGGGGTCAGAGCAGGAGGAGATACCTCAGTGTACAGCACTTGCCTGATGAGTCCAAGACACTGGGTTTGATTCCTGGTACCAGGAAAAATAAGTAAGTAAGCAAACAAAGAGAAAAATCTAGAAAATATTTGCAAAATTCCCTTTTCAAGGACCAGATGTTGCTAGTAAAACCAAGTAAGAACATACACCTTGATTTGGATTATGTGAATGAAACCACATACACTTCGTAAATATCACTAGAGTGAGTGCAGCAAGAGCTGAGGAAAAAAAAAAAAAAAAGAATCGAAACTTTATGGCACCGAAGTGGCCATAGGGCACATCATCTAAGGCCATTAAGTTCAGTCTGCAACCTGCGCCTTGTGTTAAGTAGGTCAGTAACAATGAGAAAGTCTCTCCATGGGTACACTTTTTACAGCAAAGGGAAAGACAATGCGTTGTGCCCAGTACAGTTATTTACATTGAATTGTGAAAGTCATGGGTTTGAGCACGGTTGAATAAAAACGTAAGGGAATCAACATTTCCTTACTTAAAATTCCAAAAATAGTGAATTTCCTCTAAGCCCTACTCCTGCTGTTTACTTGTTGAAGCTTTTACCTCTGCTTTGCATAGCATTAAAATGCTTTGCATTTTACCCAACTTTGCATTGTTGCCTTCCAGAAATGTACTGCCAAAATTTCCATTTTTTCACACCTCGGTACACTGAAAACTCTGCTGTCAATGGCCCCAAGGCATGCAAAACTTCAGCCACCATGGGGCAGATTCTTCTAAAAAACTCCCTGAATGCCCAGATCTACTTTGACTGTGTATAAGTGAGTATCAACACACAGTTTCAGAAAGATATAGTTTCTAATCCCAAGGAACGAACTATCCTTTTTATTGGTTTAGGAATCTTCTTAGTTTTTGGCTCAGATACTCATTTCAGTTTAATTTCTACTGTTGCATTCTCTCTATATAGATATATATTTAGAAGTTCCTATGCAATGGCTCCAGAAATTCAGTTTTTCTTTTTACTGCAGTTTTGAAAGATCATCGCATTTGCCTATTGCACCTTTTCCCCCTCTAAATCAGCATGGTTGCATACCAAAAAATTGACTTCTTTTTGCATTTTTGCTTGGTCTGCTTCATTTTTTGATGATTCTACCTTATAGGTAACCACATAGCACCCTCGACTTCCAGCTTATTATGGTTATAATTGCATATGTTGCATATGTGAAAATTGTTCAATCTCATTATTTAATTTCTGGAATATTATAATACCCTTTTTGCTTATGTGTGTCATAAAAAGTGAATTTTAAGGATGGTCTACAAGTTTGAGATACTTCTCTAGTAGAATGTGATGGCTAACAGTACTGTCCTGCAAAGAATACCAATAACATATCCAGATGGTACAGTGTTTATTACAGCAGTGAAAGCTACATACAATGTGGAGCCATGAGGATTTCACTACAAAGATGTTAAAAGGGACACAATATTGGCTTTGGGCTCTAGGTAGGAGGTTTGTGGAAGTTTGCCAGTAAGAATCACTTTGTCCCCGTTACATGAATTTAAGAAGTGAAGACAATTCTTTGATTAGTCTTATTCGGAAAACAAGAGAATCAAACAAATTTAAAGCTGTGTTTTGAAAAAAAAAAAAAAAAAGAATGGGGAAGCAGTCATTTCTTTTGGACAGACTAAGAGGGAGGTTAGGAATTTGGGGCTGGGTTCACAGTACATCCCAATGTCTATGGGTGTTTGCACACAACTGTGAAGTATCCATGTCTTTATCTTGGTCTCTAGCCAGCAGGGTGACCTTCCTGATGTGGATATTCTGTGAAATTTTTTTAGATAAGCAGGGAAGTACCAAGGCTTGGCTCACTTTGCTGGAGTAGCCCCCAGATGTTGGGAATGATTTTATTCCTTCTTAATAGCAAAAGCTTTCTTTTTTTTTTATAAAAAAACTCTACATGTATAATAGATATAAAATAAATTATTACTCTTTAAAATGCAAGATTCAATAAGATTTGTCAGAGTTATAAACCCACACCAACCACAATGGAGAGATAATGACCGAAGTCTCCTCGTACCTCTCTCCTAGACAATGCTTGCTCTGCTTTCTGTCACCACATATTAATTTTATTTCCTTGAATTCAGTATCAGTTGAATCTTACAGTATGCATTCTTTTTCTGGACAAGTGATGTGTTGCTTTTTTCTTTACCTCAGTATAATTATATAGAGATTAGCATATGTGTGTGTGTGTGTGTGTGTGTGTGTATATTTTTTTTTCTTGTTCCAAAATATTCCATCTGCAGAATATACCAGATTGTCTACCCCTTTACGTATTGCTGGATGTTTGAATTGTATCCATTTGGAGTTACTATAAATGAAGGTTAATATAAATATTCATGAACAAATATTTTTATACACATTTGCTTTCAGTTCCCTATCTGAAAATATCTAAGCATACCTAGGCTAGGTCATGTGGTATTTATATTCTCAACTTTTGAGTTAATTTCCTAAAAAGATGACATTTATCTTTCTTCCAAAAGTGTTAGTGAATTCTATTTCTTCCAAGTATCTCAAAGTTTTCTGATGTCAGTATTTTAATTTTGATTACTATAGTAGGTATATAGTGATATCTTACTGTGTCTTTAATTTGCATTTGTGTAATAACTAACCATAACAAACATCTTTTAATGTGTTTGTGTACAATCTTCTTTGCTGGTATCTGTTCAAATCAAATGGCTATTTTCAAAAAAAATGTTTTGGTTATTCCTAATGGATAGATTCCTTTATCTGAGTTAACATAGTTTATCAGGTACACGAGTTGCAATTAAGTTCTATTGTCTTTTCCTTCATTTAATGGTGTCTTTCCTTCATTTAATGGAGAAACTTAAGATTTTGAATTATTCTTTTCTGAGCTATATTTTTGTTTGTCATGAGATCTTTACCTAACCCAAGTGCATAAATGTTTTCTCTTTTGTCTTATAAATTTTACTGTATACATAATACATTTTGAATATGTACATGTATGCATATCACAATATATATCTGAATTTTCTAAAAGAATAGATAAAAATTTATAACAAGGTTAAGAGATAATTTACTCCATACTTAGTATTTCGTCTTATAAGTAATGTACAATTTTACAAGTAATGAACCAATATTGATATATCATTATCAAATAAAGTCCACATTCTATTTAGACTTTTTAATCTTTTTCATCATTGTTTTTCTGTTCTAGGATTCTATCTTGGATGTCACAATCCAGTCAGTTTTCATATCTGTTAAGGTCTTTTCAACTGGTTATATGTTTTAACTTTCTTTAATTTGATCACCTTGACAGTTTTAAGGAGTATTTAGCCAGGTGTTTTGTGGAATTTTGACCAATTAGAATTTGATGGTCAACTCATTTGAAAAAGGTCCTGTACACTAGTGAAAAATTAACAAGGCTAAATCGTTAATTCTCATCATGAATGTCAAGAATATATATGATCAATATGACATAATTTTTCGTATTAACCGTGATCACCTAGATCATTTCTTTTCAGAAACAACTCTGTAGTTTTACATTTTCTCTCTGTTTTCCACAGAAAAGAGACACCAATACATAGCACATAAAAATGAGTGTGGAACAGTTTCCCTCTTCCTAGAGAAATATGACTAACCAAATCATTTGGAATTTTTCTGCATAAGAACTTTTCAGTTTCTTCACATTTGTTAAGCTTTTCATTTACATGAGCATATGCTTATGAATATTTTCGAGTTTAAATTATGAGTTAATTTTGCTTTATGTGTTATAGCAAACAAATTTACTACTTGGCTCCCAAAACTTTTGACACACCTACATTACACTGTTTCCCTCTGAGCGCCCTTTTCCTATCTGGCACTATGTAAAATAGGAGACTTATTTTATGTTGTATCTTCGTTAGTTTTAAAGTCAGCCATTTCTGCAATGACAGCTTCTTTTATTTGTTATGATATCAAATATCAGATGATATCAGAAAGGAAAAATTGCTAACAGATTATCAGCCTTTGAGACATATCAGACAACAGGGCATAGAAATATAGTGATAAATTTAGTTTTAAATATGTACATCTTTTCAATATATAACTGTTGTGATATGCAGGTTCGTGTTGACTTTGTGGCTCTAATTTATTAACACATTGAAAGCTCCAGCTTCTATCTTTGTTTCTTTGTGCACTAACACTCCCTCAGTGAGCAACCTGGCTTCTATTCTCTGCCAGCCCTACTTAATGTTCAGTCTCCGTGTGACTCTATATGGATTCAGAATTGTGAACACACAGTTCCAGAGGAGAATTAAAGAAGGTCCAGCACTCATCATCCAATTCTTTATCTTATGTTCTTTCTTCATTATAGGGCTCTGTCATGTGTGGTGTTAGATCTGCAACATACTCCCCTGTCTCGTGAAATAAGATTGTTTGATACACATTTAGATTATGTTGCTATGTTTTCTACAATTGTAACATAGAGTCCTTTCCAGCTGGTTTATATCTGTTTGCAGGTACACTTAGTATATCCATGCCACTTAAGAACTCTCTCCCCCCAATTATGCGTATAGTTTTGTTCATACATTGACCTAAAGGAGGATACTTCAATTCCTTTAACTTGGGATGGTTATACTAAAGTTCCTATGATCATTCACATGAATATTTCTGCGTAGACATAAACTTCTGCTATTGTTTGGTAGGTTATCTGGATTATACTATGTGCCTACTCCTGCTGTTCTAAGCTACCCTCGCTGTGTTCCAGAGTGATAGTTACACTCTGTCCTCATGCCCAGCGCATCAGTGTCCCTGCTTTGATTAGTTTTCCTGTCAGCAGTTAGTAACATCAGCTTTTTAAAAAATCTAAACCATTTGAATGACTTATGGTATCACTTTTTGTTGCTTAAATCTGTAATTCCCTATTCATAAATAGTGTGAATATGTTCATTCATTATTTGCACATTTTCATTAGTTATTTGTCTTCACGGTTCATTTGCCCATTTATAATCCAGCTCTTTATGTACTTATTGTTTACTCTAAAGTGCACTTTGTATATTTTGCAAAATACAAATATGTATTTTTCAAACATTTTTCCAAAATGATGGCTTTACTTTTGCTGCTTTTAGTAGTAACTTTTGCAACACACGAGTTTTACAGAGCATGGAAATATAGTGACAAATTTAATTTTAAGTATCTACATATTTTCAATACATAACTGTAGTGATATGCAGGTTCGTGTTGACTCTGTATTTCAGTCAACATCAAGCCACATATAAAACATGGTGAGGCAAATCCAAATCTACCTCCTGCTTATGTTCCTCTCCTTTAAAGGTGCAGAATGCAGGGTGAATATTAGGCAAAGGGATCATACAAAATAAATGGATTGGCAATGAAAGTTTAATTTATTAAGCACGCTGAAGGTCATTGTTGGTTACCAAATACAAAAGCATATCCTTCTCAGGATTATAGTCAAAGCAAAACATTAGTTCCTTCATTGAAAGAAAAGTCAATATTGAATTTCTCACTAACTCTGGGGGAGTTTATTCATTCAGGAATTCTTATTCACTCCTAAAAGTGAAGGTGACTAAAGAGTCTTTTAGTGTTGACATGATGGCATCTGAACAATTTGGAAGCCATCAATAAGCTGAATTAGAGGCATATTTTCTATAACTGTTTAGATATGCTTGAATAAAATCAAAATTTCTTATTATCACAAGGCTCAAAATATACCCCTGTCATTACTTTGGGCATAAATTCCAATTGTTAGTATTTTCCATCATGCAACCTGTGCACATGGATGAATCTAAAACTAATGTGCCAAACGCATTATCATGTGCATTTTCTCTTCTATTTGATTCTTTAAACTGAAAAGTTTTACTTTTACATTTAGGCTTATGAAAATATTGAAGTGATTTTTATTAAAGGTATAAATTTTTTTAAATTTTATTTAAGGAGAAAAAGAAAAAAAAAGCAGAAAAAGGGTACAAGTTATACAGAATTTCAGAAAAAAAATAAACAGTAGGAAATCACTAGTTAATGGATTACATATTGTCATCTTAGAAATATTTGTTCAAGTTACAAAATTAAAGCATATAAAGCGGGCATTCAAACAGTGAGACTGCAAACAGTTCTGAACAGATGAACAAAACTCAGTAATATCATTGTCTATCTTATATACTTAAATATACATGCAGTTATATCGTTTAGAGCACTTTCTTTTCCTCTCTTTTGTACAATGACTATTACACATTTTGGGTTTTATTGCTCCCACAGTTCTTAATACTTTTTTTGGAAGAGAGTAAAACCAAATGTGACATAACAGAACAGAGTTGGTCAAATCAAAAGGGTGGACATAGTAGATAAAGTAAAAACATAATACAAGGTGATCAACAATGGTTACCATAATGCCTCCCGCTATCTCAAATAGAATTGCCTATATCATCAGTTATAATAAAATTGAACAAAACAGTAAAGAACGAAACCAACAAAACCAAAACATTGGAGACATTACAGGTCTTCAAAAGTAGATAATAGTCAACCAGAATGGGCATCATAATGAATCCCACTATCTTCACAACTGTTGCCTAAACTTTTGAACCTGGTACTATCAAGCAAAACAGAATAGAGGAACATCATTCGAAACAAGATGGTGAGAGCAATACAGGGCTTCAAATCAAGTTAATAGAAAATCAAGGTGGGTTACTATAATATATCCTGTAAAGGTATAAATTTTTTGTCTAGATTCATTTTTGCATGTTGATATCTAGCAAGAATTGTTAAAAATCGATTACTTTCTCCCTTGAATTGACTTTGCAATTTTGTCAAAACTCAGCTGTCTGTATTTGAGTGGACCTATTTCCGTGCTTTGGTTGGTCATTCAATATGTGTGTCCTTTCAGTAATGCCGCACTGTGTCAATTATCGTAACCTACAGGACATCTCGAATGTGTGCCATAAGGATTTTTACTTTCGTTTTTGCTTCAGAATTTTGTTGGATAAAATGAGTCATATGTCTCATTGTCTAAACTGTAAAATACAGTTTGTTGATAACTGCAAAATGGCTTGCTGGGAATTGGAGAACATACTGATCAAGTTAGGAAGAATTAACATCCTAACTCAGAATTTTCAATTATGAATATAAATAGTCCTGCATTTATTTAGGTTTTCTATGATTTGTTTTACTAGTGGCTTTCACATAGAGATATTGAAATACTTCCTTAGACCACTTAAGTACTTAATTTTATAAAAGCTACTATGCATATATGTTTTATAATTAAAATGTGCTTTATTTCAGGCACAGAGGAAATCAGTTGAAATAATTTGATCTGTAAACCACTGAATCCTAATCCGCTGAAGTTGGGTTTCAGAATTTTACTTAGTGAATATCATTTTTCCCTATTATGAGGAAGATTATGTCTTTCACAATGATTCCTCTCCTTCTTCCTATCAAGATCCTTAAAGAGACTTTTTTGACTAACCACTGAGATCCTGTTGGGTTAATATTTGTGAAGCCTGAAGATTGTGACTCCAGGAATTCCATTTTCCTACTAATTACCACTGACAATGATTCTAAATTACTAACTAATGTTCCTCCTATTTTATACTTTCAGAAATTTTTGCCTTAAGTAATCAGATACTACTTAAGGGTAGGTCTGAATTTTTCTAGATTTACTTGATTCTAGATTTGTAAAAATTACACAAAAAGAAGTTAATAATTTTCAATTTTTACAAAAGTTTTCTCTTTGTTAAGGGCCAGGAATGTCAACTATCCTCGCCTTTAAATATCAGAAATAAAAATATCCAAATTTAGAAATATTTTGTTAGTTTCCTGATATATTCTGTTGAGCGTTTTTAAATTTAGTTTTCTTATCTTTTGAGAATTGTCTTTCTGGGGAGCAGATTGTGGCTTGCAAGTAAATTACTGCTTTCTGGTCTTGCCTCAAAAACTTATTAGTCAGAATGGAATTTAAACTAGAGTTAATCAGTGTGTTCTCCTGATGGAGATTTTATGTATTTCACAGGGATTCTTATTACTTTTTTGATTGCCTGTTACTTTAACCTTTGCCTAAAATGTTGTCATTTTCTGATATGTCCAACCAAATTTTACAAAACCCTAGTGAGGCAGTCTGAAAGACTGCTCTATCAGAGTTTAAGTCTTGGTGCTTTCCCCTGACAGAGTGCTTGATATCAAATTGGACACAGAATGGATTGGATCAACCAAAAATACAAAAGCAGTTGCACTGTGAAGATTGGGGTTCTCACCACTTTTCACGCCTTAAATCTTGTAGGCCAACAGATCTGGGAACTATTTTGTGAATACAGTAAAGATTGGGAAATGAGCCAAAGAGCAAGAAAAACCTTGGAAAAGATAAGCTGGTTACTGACTGAAAAATAACCTTGATGAAATCATGTAAACCACTGCATTTATCTATGCCTAAAACCAGTCATTCTTTGAATTTCAATTACATAAAGCAATACAATATCTTTTATTTTTCTGTTTTGCTTTATGCTTCATCCTAGTGTGTTGCAATGGCAACAACAATAAAAACATTCCAACATAATTATTCAGTCTTCTGAATGGGAACATTCAAACATTCCTATTGACAGCACTTTTCCCGTCCATATTAGGATCAAGCAGATAGGGAGGATTTTAATCTTTTAATTGAAAGAACAGAAACAATTTCTTTAGAATATGTTCATAAAAGTAATTATCAAAGCTGAGTTGACTGGAAAAATTAAGAAATCTAAAAGGAAAATTTTTAGAGCTGTGTCATACATATTCTAGAAAATATAGCCCTGTACACAGTTTGAAGTAATTCAAAACTGATGAAATACAAGGATAAATAATTGAAAAATGAACACAATACAGATGAATGACATAAAGGTACTTATTTCTGTTGACAACTGAAATTTGCTTCTTTGAGTTTCTCAATCAATGCTTTTTTTTCAGTTCCAAGGACAACCAGTTGGACCGATTATGTTTAATATTTTCAACTGGTGAGAACACTTAGAAATAATGACAATGAAATATTGGTTTTCAAATATGATGTTCAGCAAACTCTAACTTAGGTAATCAAATACTGCTTACCATTGTTGCTGACTGTCAGAGGTGGGGAGAAAATGAGGACGAAGCACCCAGAAGGCAGGAGAAGCCTCCCCTCGGCCCCGCCTGTCCAGCTATCTTGGTGATCCAGGTGATCTGATTTTATGCTCCATTTCGTTAGCTTGTGATCACATGGATTATGACTCTCAGGGGTGTTTGAATTTAATTACAAATGCCTTAGTATTGATAATAATTACCTGGAGAAATAAAGGCTGAGTGGTTCCACAGGCCTTGGCTCTACAATGTCTCCATTTCTTTTTTTATCACACTCTTCAGGACTCATGCAGAGTTTAAACACCACGTTACTACCACTCATTTGAAGTTTTTCATTGCGAAGACACTTAAGATGACGCACTCATACTTAAGGCAGAGGCTTGTATGAAATCATTTCGATTTCCATTCATTACGGAGGTATTATTAAGGTATAAATATTAGATATATAGTTATGCAGCTTTATATTAATGTATTTTATAACAGCTGCACACACATGCTTGAATTTATGTTTTGTGGTTAAAATGGCTATTTTCTACAATATCAAATGCATTATAACAATTAAAGAATGTGAGTCAAAATAAAATTACAGAGCTGCCTGGCCTGTTCTGAGCAATTACTTCTAGAATTTCTTTAGTTAGAATCATGCTCCCTTTCCAGTTGTATTGTTTTGAAAGACATGTTGTTACCTAAGAAACATCTAATTTCATGATCTCTTTATTATGAATAAATTTAACTTTTGAAAAATAATGGATATCAAATTAATAAAAAACACAAATCCAGTCACATAGCCAATCCCAGCTTTATAGAGAATATTTAAAAATTTATTTATTGGTGCATTTTAGGTATATATGATAATCGAATTTGTCCTGCGATTCCTTTCTTATTCCCATTCCCCTGTCTCCCTTTTAATCCCTCTTTGCTCTTAATTTACAAAAGCAGAATTCATCTTTTTTTAGTGACTAAATCTGAAGATTACCCTAAATGTCTTTCCATTAGTTAGAACATGTTTGCAGTTACACTATGGGCCAGGCACCATCTAGAGATATCATTAAATAAATATAAACTATGATCTCAAGAAGTTTTTGTTTTTGTTTTTAATTTCCTAGAAGATAGTTAAAAGCACACAATTATGCTGGACATGCTGGTGCACAATTTTAATCCCAGCACTTAGGAGGCTGAGGCATGGGAATCACTGGGAGTTTGAGGTCAGCCTGGGTTACATAGTGAGATCAAGGCAGCCTGAAAATCCACAGCAAGACCTCGTCCCAAAAAACAAAAATAACAACAAAGGCACACAATTTCCATTTGGAAAATGAAGTCTTATATTGGCAGTTTGATAGTCATCTCTTTCTGTAATTTCTAGGGCATAAATTAGTCTTGGTAAGTAAGTGGCCTGAGTTTGGTGATCTGGAGCTTTAGAAGGATTAAGGACATTCATTCCATATTAGATGTGTTCTTATGAAAATATTAAATAAATTTCAACTAATAAGGAAATTCTTTAGTAAGGCCTAAATATTTGTAAATACCTGTTTTAGTCTGCATATTTAAATAAAATTTACTTGTGCTCATATGTTATGGAAGGTAAAGTCTGCTACAGATCTTACAAGATGCATTGTTTGGACACATTCTCAATACTGTTTTTCTGGGAAAACATCACTAATATATTTATTTTCAAAACTTTTAGTAAACACTGGTTTTTTGTCCACTGACAATTTTTGTTCCAGTGTAAATTTAATTTCAATTTTTCATTAAGACATCTCAGTGTGAACCTGTTGTGGCCACACATGAATAGAAATCTTGCTATTGGGGTGGAGCTGGATGTCTGGGAACCAGGGCAAGAACTCATCCATTAAGTGTCCCAGCTTGTGAAGATCACTGCAGGTGTTAGAATGGTTTGCTTTGCTGTGGGCTTGTATTATAAACTGATTTTCCTTAATCATCCCTAAACTATTAATGTGATTTTCATCCAGAACTTCTTATTTAAAACAATTTATGCTCTGTATTTCTGAATTTAAAAACAAAACTATTTAAATATAACAAGAAATATGTACTTTAATTTCCTTTAGATTAACATTTTATTTTATTAAGAATGTAAATTCAAAAACTATTTTTCCTAAGATCAATTCTTGCTTTTGTTACTTATCAGAAAGTCTGATTTAGAGTAAACCCAGTAATATAACTGTTTTTCATTTAAAAATGGTTAAAGTCCATTAAATTGTGGCAAAAATGTCCACTGCATTGACAGCATTTTAAACATTGTTACTCATCAGGTATATATGACAACGATTTTCTGAACTAATAGTTTTAAAACATTTTATTTCAAATAATTTAAAAGATCAGGATTAATGCCAGGCATGGTTGCTCGTGCCTGTAATCCCAGCACTCAGGAGGCTGAGGCAGGAGGATCACTGTGAGTCTGAGACCAGCCTACAAAGTGAGATCAAAGCCAGCCTGAACTGCATAGAGAGACCAACCCTGTATCAAAAAGACAAATAAATAAATAAATAAATAAAATAAAAAAGATCAGATTAAAAAAAAAAAGTTTTAACCTATATGTATTTTGAGCCATCCAGTCTTTTTGTTTGTCTTTTGATACCAGGGATTAAATTTAAGACCTTACACGTGCCAGGCAGGCACTTATGCTCCTGAGCTAAATCTCCAGCCCCCAATATGCATTTTAATAACCAATTAAAACAATTTTATGGACATTGTTTGATGTATTTCTCCCTAGAAATATTGAGACAGCTTATTTTTATACATTTGACCTTTTAAAAAATGATGAAGTATTTTAAATAATATCTATCATATTGCCTTGATATCATTTTAGTAATTCTTCATATTTTTTAAAAAATTTCCTTAGTAAATAAAATTATAAATATTAGTTGGGTGATGTGATATATTTTAGGTAATATATATGATATTTTGTATTTATACAATTTTTAAACTTCAAGTCAGGTTGTGTAATATTTATGTAAGATATATATATATATATATATATATATATATATATATATATGGTGTTATCTCAGTTACACAATTTGTTTTAGGATTTTGGAAAATGACAAATTTGCGTTTGTGTGAGCAAAATAGCTGTGGTCATGTTTGTTACTCTATGCAGAATTTGCACATATAAAAAACAAATTTTGCCAAATGCTTCTGTTTACAATACAAATTGTTTGGAAACCAGTGTTCATGCACCAGATTACCACTGTTGTGTGTGTGTGTGTGTGTGTGTGTGTGTGTGTGTGTGTGTGTTATTTACATACCTCTAAAGCAAGCTTTGTACATGTTTTGATTTCCAGATCTTTACAAATAACTCTGTAGGATAATTACTATTACTAATGACTATGAATGAGGAGAAAAATAATTAGGCAATCTCAATAAATAAGTATCAGACACCTTTTTAAGTGCAAAACTATGCTAAAATATTTTTATATGTACTGACATTCAGATCTCAACAGCTACAGTAGCTAAGTTTGTTTCTAATTAGAATGATTTTGTCTTCAGTTTCCTGGAATAGCTTTTGTTTGTGTGTGCTAATCAGAATGTATTAGTAGTTCTACTTTATACACAAATTTTTTAGATATCATCTAATAAATTCTATTCAAAAATAGATTGACTAATGAGACTAAAGTGAGAATATTTTACTTAGATAAAGCAAACAGCACCATGTCACTAGCCTTTATTAATTTTTGAACATTAACGTTTAGAGACAGCAGGCACAAACAAAACATACCCCTGCAAACACATGATCACACACTATTGGCTTAATGTTGGTAGTGGTAAACGGGCCGTGCTGGCCTCCACATGCTACACAAGTTTGCAGAACAAGGTTTAATGCAGTTAGATTTAGTCCAGCACTGTTCATACTGTTACCGGCTTCCCCCTGCTAGCTGAGATGAGACAGAAAGACTATGGAAAGGTAAGTAATGAAATAACTCTATTTAAAGAACAAGGGGAGGTGAGAGATAAAATAATTGAAATGAGGAAAACATGAACTTGTAATATTATTCAGCAACGACTAGTTAACTGGTATACGACATACAGATCTTTAACTGACATATTTTACTTTTAACATAACAAAAGCACATAGTTAAACATTAAATATTACAATTTGTATGCTTGTGATAGAAAGTATTCTCTCAGCTCATAAAGATATCATTTGTGAAATAACTTTATATACTTCTGAAAGATCAATATAAAAAATCCAAAACTAAATGGAGATTTATTTTCTTTCTAAAATTATTTAGAAATCTGAGTAAAATGATAAATATCTTAAAGCATTGTACAAAACTTCAGTACCAAAATTATAATTTTAAATTCTTGAAAATTTATTAATTTTATTTTGCTATTTTACCATGAATGGTTCTTATCTCTAATATTTGAAAATAAAAAAAAATACTTCAAAAGGGGACTGTCTTCAAGTTCTGAGCTCTGAAGGTCAAAGAACAACACTGGAAAACGTTGCTTATGGAATGTAGGCATTGCATTTGGCTACTCAAATATTGTTTTGAACACAGGTATCTCATACTTGAAAACAAAAGACAATTATTTTGTATGAGACTATTGTGCTTTTGAAGGCTTAAATCATTTTAGCTATTTAAATTGAGTTATAAAGTTATAAAGTGACTGATTCAGTGAATTTGAAAGTGACTTAGCCCAAAAGTGCAACTGCAAATCAGCAAAGAAAAGAATCTGTTACTCTGACAAATTCTGTCGTCACTATAGCTCTGCCAATTTGCTTGAAAATTGGGCAACCCTGATGTCTCAGCCCCATTTAACAACCAAGGAGAGCAAACCAAGTACAGTGAGATACAATTTGTTTTTCCATACCATTACCTCAGGATGTTTCTGCACAGAAGCTTTTCAAAAATTGGAAGCATATTTTGGCAAAATCATGTTTTAAAACAAACAACAGACATGAGAGATATGTACTCAAAACTGTCAGCGTTTAGAAATGCTGTCTACAGTTTATTTTCTAGAGACCTACCAGCTGATGCGTTCAGTTTTCCTCTGTCTTTTAATTCATTAAAAGTACATTAGCATTACCCCATACCAAAAGTTTACTAAGTA